GAAGGAAAACATTCCACTGACCTGTTCCCTGTGGGGCAGCAGCAGGCAAAGGGGTCTGTGAAGATCAGTGGCGCTTCCTGGAACCTCTGGCTCCTTTGGGATCCATGTCCTAAAGCGGCTCCTGCCAGGTCAGTGACATGAAGGAGAAAGTGCCCAGATCACCAGGAGCTCCTCACTGCTGTCCTGCTGGCTCCTCTCTGTTCCTTGTTCCTTAATTGTTTCGCAAGGCTTGGTGGGACAATCGGAAATTTAATCTTTGGCTACGTCAGAATTTCACTTCCTCAGAGCTGTTTGTCTTGAAGTTTTTGCTGCCAGAGAGGAAATATCTCAACATGCAGATTTCTTTGAGTGGCTCCTCATTTCCTCCTGACTAGAAACACTCTTCCCAATGTGACATTCTCCAAATTCTTTCCCTCTCTCAGCAGGTTCTGCCATTCCTCATTTCCCTACCCTGAGGGGTCATTTTTCCTCCAGCAGCAGAGAGCTGCTGCTGGTGCTGGTGGCACTGGGCTGCTGGCAGTGCTGCGAGTGCTCACAGCACTGCTGAAGCATTTGGCTGCTTCTCAGAAACAACTCCCATTCTGGGAAGAGGTCTCGGATTCCCTGGTCCCAAGAAAGCCATCTGAGCTGGGGAATCCTATTTCTGTCATTCCAATGCAGGCTGCCACAGCCCAAGGGAAGGACAGCACTCAGTTGCTTGCAGCCAGGTTATCAGCACTCAGAGCCCACCCTCATTACTGCCAATCCCCTTGATGGTGCAATGAAAGCTACTAGGAACCAGGTTTTGGGGTGCTGTGATCCTCTTTCCAGCCCTTCATTAGGGCTCATCCTCCTCCTTCTCCTCCTCACACATGGCAGTATTTGTGTTTGTTTTTACCTGACCTCACCCCTCTGGGCAACCTGTGCCAGGTCCTCACCACCCTCTCAGGGAAGGATTCCTTCCCAATATCCAATCTGAACCCACCCTCTGTCTGTGGGAAGCCATTCCCCATTGTCCTGTCACTCCATGCCCTTGTCCAAGGTCCCTCTCCACCTCTCCTGGAGCCCCATCATCTCCTGGATCATGAAGTGTTTGCCCTTGAAAGGGCTGGGCTGTGGGAGATGTGAGATTCCATAGCTGGGTACACAAAAATGGTGTCAGCAGGGAAGAGAGGTGACAGTTCTGGTCCCGGGGCCGGCAGTTTCCAGCCGGAGCATTCCAAATCCCTGAGGCATATGTCAGCGTGGGTTGGCATCATCTCACCTCAGCTTTCTAGGAGTTCCTTGAATTCACTGTAGGCTGCTGTCTGACTGCCAAGGGAGTGTGGAAGATGGCTCAGAGGAAACCTGCAACTTTCTAAGGATTAAAGCCAGGAGAGCAGCATTGATTTGCCTCTTCTCAGCAGAAATTACATTGCTGAAATCCTAAGTCATCCCTCTGCTCTGTTCCTGTGCTCCATCTCAGGCACAGAATTGATTATTGCATGAATCCTCTTGGAAACTGCATGGTGAAGGTCCAGGGTCACTGAAATTGCAGTATACATGTGGGAAAATTAGATTTGAAGCAGAAGTCATAGGTTTTGTCCTGCAGGGTCCTAAAAATCTTCCTGCTGAATGATGGGGGATAATTTGCACTCATTCAAAGACGTGATTTCATAGTTAGTGTTTCTAAGAGGGACCTGACACAAACTGCTTTTCCCAGAAGGAATGAAGAGCTCTTGGAACTGTCAACAGACAGCTCATTTCAACCATAGCAGGCACCAGCCTTAGGAAGAGCTCTGGAATGAGACAGATACCTGACCTCCTCACAGACAAGCCAGAGGC